CCACCGAGCCAAGGAGATAAGTAACTATACAATCTTTAGAAGACATCTGAAGGCAGCCTGTATAGGGAAGTTGTTTTGTTTTGTTTTTTGCTTTAATTTTTAAAATATATTTATTTATGCTGGAAGCCCCTCAGAATGGCTGGGGCAGGGTATAAAAAAAAAGATTATGGAATAGGATGTCCCTGTTTTCATTAGAGAAATGTTGGAAGGTATGCACTAGAGGCAGGAGAATGCAGGTGGTACTATGGTCTAAACCACTGAGCCTCTTGGGCTTGCTGATTGGAAGGTCAGCAGTTCGAATCCCTGCGACAGAATGAGCTCCCATTGTTATTTCCCTGCTCCTGCCAATCTAGCAGTTCAAAAGCATACCAGTGCAAGTAGATAAATAGGTACCACAGCGACGGGAAGGTAACCAGAGTTTCTGTGCGCTCTGGTTTCCATCACAGTGTTCTGTTGCACCAGAAGTGGTTTAGTCACGCTGGTTACATGACCTGGAAAGCTGTCTTTGGACAAACACGGGCTCCCTAGGCCTGAAAGCGAGATGAGCACCACAACCCCATAGTCACCTTTGATTGGACTTAACTGTCTAGGGGTCGTTTACTTTTTTTTATCTTTTACTAGAGGCAAGATATTTCTGCCCACCCACTCAGAGTTACAGGCTGCAATCCTGAAAGGCAATGGAACTTTTGTCTCAAAATAAGGTTGTGCTGAACTTCTAGAGCAGAGATGGGGAAGCTGTAGTCCTCGATCAGGCATCCCCAAACTCAGCCCTCTGGTTGTTTTGGGACTACAATTCCCATCATCCCTGACCACTGGTCCTGTTAGCTAGGGATGATTGGAGTTGTAGTCCCAAAACAGCTGGAGGGCTGAGTTCGGGGGTGCCTTCCCTGGATGAATGGGATGCGGGTGGCACTGTGGGTTAAACCACAGAGCCTAGGACTTGCTGATCAGAAGGTAGGCGGTTCGAATCCCCGCGACAGGGTGAGCTTCCATTGCTCGGTCCCTGCTCCTGCCAACCTAGCATTTCGAAAGCACGTCAAAGTGCAAGTAGATAAATAGGTACCGCTCCGGCGGGAAGGTAAATGGCGTTTCCGTGCACTGCTCTGGTTCGCCAGAAGCAGCTTAGTCATGCTGGCCACATGACCTGGAAGCTATACGCCGGCTACCTCAGCCAATAAAGCGAGATGAGCACCGCAACCCCAGAGTCAGTCACGACTGGACCTAATGGTCAGGGGTCCCTTTACCTTTACCTCCCTAGATGTATAGATGGACTCCAGCTCCCATCAGCTCCTGCCAGCATGGCCAATGCTAAGGGGTGGTGGGATTTGCGATCCTAGAGGGTTACAGGTTTAATCTTTGTCTTAGAGTCTCTGGAGGGGAAGCCGAACTCTTATGACTAACAACACTAGCAGCACACACAAACAACTTTTTAACAAGGTATCCACAAAAGGTGACAAACACAGTAATTTTCTAGGCACACAACCAGAAAATACGGACTAGTCCTGGTAAACAGAAAGTTGGCATGTGTGCAATCTAATTGTGTACATATATGAAAGTAATCCAAGAAACAAGACCATTTTTTGCTATATTAGATCTATTAACTTTAATGATATAATTATAATCATAATCACTGTTAATTTCATATCTATAATTATGTGGGTGATTAACATAATTGTTGGCATTGTGTGGATTGTTTGGAATATTACCACTTCTCTTTGCCCTAGTTTTGGGAAAAGTTAACTCCAGCGAACAAAACCTAGCAGGAGATCTCTCTCTGTTTCTTATACCTCACATCATGCTTCCTTTTATTACATTAATATGCTATGTAAAATGGCAACATTCAGAGGCGCCGCCTTGGGCCAAAGATTGGGGGAACCAGCTGCAAGCAGCGCGCCTGTGACATCAAGTGTATGTTGGGGTTGTGCGTCGAGTGCCTGTGACATGACACATGTGTGATACCGTTACTCATAATAAAAGTCTTCCTTACTTTTAGGTTACCAGATGTCCCCGTTTCCCGTGGACAGTCTCCAGATTTACAAATCAGTCCCCTGACAAATTCCATCTATTTAGTAGGAAGTTCAAAAGTGCCCCCGGATTCATTGGAAAAAATCTGGTAACCTTATCTTACATTGTTGTTTCACCTAACTGGTAGCAATGACACTTAAAGAAGCCTTCCTTCTCAATGGGCAGCGTGGACTGATCAGAATGCCATTGTGAAGAGTGTCATTACATTTCATCTCATTTGATAGAGACTAGCAAAATGCAGAGCAATGGGCAGCAGCTGGTGGTGAGGTGCTGCTGCTCATTTGACCTCTATCTGGCTGGATCATAGTGCATACTGGAACTGAGAGAAAGACGGCTATGGTGGCCTGGGCAGTATGGTGCAGACCCATCAATGGAATCTATCTACCGTATTTTTCGCTCTATAAGACGCACCAGACCGTAAGATGCACCTAGTTTTTGGAAGAGGAAAGCAAGGGGGGGGGGATTCTGAATCCCAGAAGCCAGGACAGCCAGTGGGATCACTGCGCAGCGATCCCGCTGGCTGTCTTGGCTAATGGGATAGCCGTGCGCAGCCTCTCCTGGGCAAGGGGAGCCTATCATCCCCTGCTTGGGAGAGGCTGCATGCGGCTAAAGCTCCCCCAAGAGCTCCCTTTAAAGAGTGCACGGTGTGTGTGTGTGGCTCTTGGGGGCTTTTCCCCAAGAGCCGCACACACGCTCCACGCGGCTCTTTCAAGGGAGCGCTGAGCAGAGCCTCCCGCCTGCATTCGCTCCATAAGATGCACACACATTTCCCCTTACTTTTTAGGAGGGGAAAGGTGCGTCTTAAAGAGCAAAAAATACGGTACCTTCAGACGTGTTTGCACCACACCAATATCACCGCTTCTGCTCCCTTTCCGCTCTCCCTCCCAGTATACCTGAAGGAGAATCTCCACCCCCACCATTCAGCCCGGACACTGAGGTCCAGCTCCGAGGGCCTTCTGGTGGTTCCCTCACTGCGAGAAGTGAGGTTACAAGGAACCAGGCAGAGGGCGCCCGCCCTGTGGAATGCCTTCCCATCAGATGTCAAAGAAATAAACAACTATCTGACTTTTAGAAGACATCTGAAGGCAACCCTTCAGATTACATTCTGTTGGGAGCCTCCCAGAGTGACTGGGGGACACCCAGCCAGATGGGCGGGGTATAAATAAATTATTATTATTATTATTATTATTATTATGCATCCCAGTTTGATGCAGTGACTCAGCCAAATGACAAAACAGCAGCCCACCATGCCATTCACCGCTGGCAGTGGGATATCCCCCTTTACACTGATTTTTTACCTAAGCTCTAAATTCTTAAAGGTGTGGGTATCACAATGTAAACAAGTAAAGTATGTAAACAATAGTAATCTCTGCTTGTTTTATCCAACCAATGAAAGCAAGCGAGCACTGAGTAGGTTTTACAGCACTTGGAGAAGATGCTTTGAGCCCAAGCTTTGACAAACTGTCAGGGAGCGAATGATTTTCTTTCTACTCTCATTGTACAAACTTATTACACAGTCAGAATCATCAAGAGAGCATTCCCAGACAGTCTTCAAAAGTGTGACACTGTGTTGCAGACACCTTTGCCTCTTGTTATTTTTGAAACAGCAATATGCTAGAATTTGGAAGTATCCCTCCCCCTTGCTATGTTCTTTTCCTCTCACTGCTGTTTATCATTTGGTTTTCATTCTGTCTGACGGCCGGGAGTCCTCATCTACCATTTCATTTAATGATTACGGCATATATTCACTTTGGTTTTCTCTACTTTAGACAAGTAAACCTTTTGCATGCGAGTACCAACAAGAGCTTACCACAATCATGATTCATGTGGCTGCTGTAATAATTAAAGGGGTCTTGTCCATTTCTTAAACCTTTTAAAGCACACACAAAGGGACGCAGGTGGCACTGTGGGTTAAACCACAGAGCCTAGGACTTGCCGATCAGAAGGTCAGCAGTGTTTCCTGCTTGGCAGGGGGTTGGACTCGATGGCCCTTGAGGTCTCTTCCAACTCTATGATTCTATGATGGGGTGAGCTCCCGTTGCTCGGTCCCTGCTCCTGCCCACCTAGCAGGATGAACCTAGCAGTTCAAAAGCACGTCAAAGTGCAAGTACCTTCTCATGTGCTCTTGTGATGTCACAAGCAACCCACAGCCAATTGCAGCAGCTCTGGAGGCATCATCATCACCACCATCTCCTCAGGTCCCACAATGGTGGGTGCAGCTCAGCAGTGATTTGTGTGTGTTTTTATTTAAAAGATGCCTCGCACACCTCTAACTTGTATTGGTCATAGCTGTCAACGTTTTCCTTTTTTAAGGGAAATTCCCTTATTCCGAATAGGATTCCTTGCAAGAAAGGGAAAAGTTGACAGCTATGGTATTGATACAAAGGAATGGCACTCCACAATCCAAGGGGGTTGTGCCATTTTTTGGCCCAATGGCTGTGCTCCTTTGTGTCAACGTTCCAGAGCCACACACCAGTGATGGTGGCCAGAAGCAAAAAGAGAGAGGAGGGACAAATGTGACTCTTACCTTTGTACAGTGAACTCTGTTCCAGAGGTTTCTACATCACCACCCTCTCTCATCATCCAGTTAAGCAAGACCATTCACCTTTTCCGGTGGGTGGCACTGCAGCCGGGCAGCCATGACCCGATAATGATCTGTCGCTGGGACGGAGATTGACACCCTCTTCAGGTGTCGCCCTGGCTGCATCACCAGCACTGGCCAATCAGCGCTGGTAATGGGCATGGGAGATTTAACCATGGCGTGGCCAGGCTGCAAGAAGCATAATCACAGTGCAAGAAGCGTAATCACGGTGCCCTAACCAAGCAAAAGCACCCAAGGAAGGTGTGGAACATGGCTGGTGAGGCAGTTAGCCTGCAAAGAGTTATGGGAGGCACTTTGGCTAGAGATTCCACATCCCAGTGCTTTTGCCTGGTTGTACACAGAGTAGACCCATGGAATTGTGGGAATGGTGCTTCCAAAATACTATGCAAAGGATTGGTGCTGTAGCATAGAATCCTGTGATGTCACACGCCTGAGGCAGTTTGCTTCAGTTCGGTTATCAACTGTTGTGTGAGTTTCAACTGTTAGAGCAGCAAATATGTTGCGTTATTCTGCCATTTGCCTCAGCCAGTCTATAAATATGAGTCGGTTTCAGGTACAAATTCACGTAAATATGTTTCAGTAACGTATTACATGCCTGTCTTGTACAAGAGGGAGTACACCAAGTAATAGTCATGTTATTTTAAAACTTTAAAACAAAGTGTGTTGCATGGTTGTTGTTGTTTTCTCTCAGAAGGAGAATGATAACTATTTAAAAGGGTCAAACGACCCGGGGCAACTTCCACACAACTCTTTAAAGTATATTTGTGGCAGGAAACAAGAGGCTGAGATTAAGGAGGAGGTAGCAGACAGGCAATGTCACCACTCCCCTCCTGCCCAGACTGGCTGTGAGAAGGCAAACAGAGCCTGGCGCTAAGGGTAGACTTAGATTGGTGGGGCGGTGCCCCCTTAGCTAATAACCATCTTAGCTAATAGACCAGCCTGCACTGTTATAATTTAACCCATAGCTAAGACTAAGCATGTGCATGTGAAACAACCAAGTATTGATTCTCTATTTATCCCTTTCTCTATTGTTTGCCCTGCACTGAATTTTAGATTATAAGCTCCCTGGGACAGAGATGTCTCTTCCTGTGCTCTATAAAGAGCCAAACATCCTGATAGTAACAAATAAACAGCAACAGCCGCTCATGCTCTCAGTGCTGGTCTGATTCTGTTTGCTGAGAACTATCCAGAAAGGGAAGATGCTTCCTTGTGAGGCATTCCTGAAAAAGTTAATATGATTAATTATCGGAGGAAAATCCAATAACATCTGATATGACAGAATGCTGGCTAATTAGCAAAATGGGGAAAGCCTACATATAAAGTTAGATCTAGTAAATATGACTTCTTAAAAAAAGACTTCTTAAAGAAGGAGGAGGGAAGGCAGATGCGCAAGCTAATAGAATATTTAACATTGGGCAAGATCCCATGAGTGCCTTTGCTGTGCCATATATACAGCACCACTGAAGGACTTCACGAAACTCTCTAGGAAAGGGTAATTTTAAGATGGTGACAGCCTAAAACTGGAGGGTGGGGAGAAAGAGAGCGAACTATGCCTCTGTGGTAGAAAGGCTGCCAAAACACATCATTTTCAGAGCAAAATTGTGAAGTTCTATGGGAATTGTCATGACAACATCTGGCTGGCTTCTTAGCAATATCAATGTGTGGCAGCAAATAGCAAGCCTGAGCTCTCAAAAAGCAATTGTGACAAGATCTACAATGATTTGCCCATTGGTACACTATAGACACGTTATGAGCAGTCAGCATGCTGCACATTCAGAAAAGAATTTGCTCCAGAATATATTTTTTTCAAGTTTCTTAGAAGAGATCTTTTGAAAAACCCACTACAACTCTTTAAATCTTTTTTTTTTTAAAGCAGAACTAAACCCATCCTGTCCAGTATGCTTAAGATAAGCAGAGTTTACCCATCCAAATGAAAAAAACAAATTTGTAATTGTCAAATTGCAGTTGTTGGTAGTGAAAAGACAGTCTGAGATGGAAGGGGCTATAATGTATCTTGCAACTCAGACCCCCTGGGCTGCCTGATATTTGAAGAACTTGTAGATTCCAGTGATATGCCAAGCGGAAAACAAACCTCAGTTTATTCTTCGTGAGAATCTTCTATTAGACTGGAATAAAGCTTTCGGGTTACAGTTCTTATTTAACGTATTTATATTCCACCTTGCAACATTCTCAAAACATCATTATAAAATATAAAGTAATAAAGCATATCAGTTAAAAACAATAGTTAAGATACAATAAAGCATCGTTAGAGCCAGCTAAAATACCATTAAAATACCAATTACTGTGATCGTCTAGTTGTCAACATTGTCTGCACCTAGTTTTCAATGGCCTGTCTGAATAGGAAAGTCTTTCCTCATCAGGGGTTCCATCATCTTGTCTTAGTTGGTGGTTAGGAACTGGAATTTTTTTTCCATATATTTTTATTTATTTATAAAGAATGCTGGATGTCTTTTCCCACCGGATATGTGACTAAGACTACAAGTCCCAGAATTCCTATTGGGACATCAGTAGTGTCATTTCTTCCACAAATAAGGTAAAGGTAAATGGACCCCTGACCATTAAGTCCAGTCGCAGACGACTCTGGGGTTGCGGCGCTCATCTCTCTTTATTGGCCGAGGGAGCAGGCATTTGTCCACAGACAGCTTCCGGGTCATGTGGACAGCATGACAAAGCTGCTTCTGGAGAACCAGAGCAGCACACGGAAACGCCATTTACCTTCCCGCCAGAGTGGTACCTATTTATCTACTTGCACTTTGATGTGCTTTCAAACTGCACAGGCTCAGCATCTTAGAAATAAAAGATAATTCCAAACAGACCTATAAGCAACGGTCTCTTTCCTCACAACCTCCATTTTGCCTGGATCTGTATTCACTCACTGGAGAGGGTCATTTACACATCCTTACTCCCCAGAGCCTGAGAACAAAAACTAAGCCACCAGCCTTCCAAGATGGTGAATTTGCAATTCAGTACCTGTGTCACTGGATCTAAGGTTAAACACTCATGTGGTAGCTAGCAGAAAACAACAATAGTTAATTATCACCCCATCAAGGAGTTCAGAGACCACTTAGTATACTTCAGTGTAAATTTCCCACTTTAAAGCCTTCAATAATACACATTTAGGCAGTCGCCATTTCAGTGCCAATTAAATAATTAACAGGGGCTCTGGGAATGTTCACCCCACTTTCCAAGTCACAATGGTAAATTACTTACCTTAAGGGCCCAGAAGGGGGGAAGAGGCAGAGGTCAGTCCTCCTTGATCTGTGTGCTGTCAAACAATGTGCAAGCCATTGCAGAAAGCTTTTGCAAGGAGGCTTCATCATTGAGAGCACTCAACTAAGCACTCACAAAAACTCAACCCATTTTTGGGTCTGAATAGCAGATATTTCTGCATAATGTGGGCAACAGATGAAGAACAGAGTCTCTATGGCAGGGTGGAGGACGTTTGGCCCTCCAGTGCTGATGAAATCCAATGAGGGGTGATGGCCCTGCAACATCCCCAGGTTTCTTCTTCCTTGCCCTATGGCATAAAATAACAGAATTTCCCCAATAACCTTTTTCATATATGTCTAAACTGCTTGGACTTTGTCTAGAAGACTGGAAAAGTCAGCAGAATAATCTAGTCATAATGATACCTGCGAGTGACAAAAACAAGAGGAAACTCTCCCGTCTCCTCATCTAGCCTAGCTATCTGCATGAATTCCCAAAATTTGCATTTAGACAAAAGGACTCTTATTTAACAACTACTCAGGGAGGCAGAAGTGGTACAGGATTTTCAGACTAGCTATAGTAAGGCTTCAAGGACATTATAGGCATTTAGCTCTTTCGCTGGTTGGAAGAGAACAGCTTGAGGGAAAGGTAATGTGATTTTGAGAGGAAACTTGGCTAGAAGCAGAAAGGTTAAGCACCCTCTACATTCTGTAGCTTTGTGCATTTGGTTTTCATTAAGGGGGGGAAAGACATTGGGTCGGAGTTGCATTTTGATGTAAAAAATGACAGGACTAGGGCATCTAATTGTTGTGCAGAAGTTGGAATTTCTGGTGTTTTGTTTGGAATTCTGTAACATTTACTTTGGGCAAATCCAAAATCCTGTAATAGCACCTTCTCATAATCCCATTACTAACTTTCTTAATTACTTAAAAAACACAGGGAGCTTCCAAACCAAGCAAACAGATACATACTAACAAACAGATCTCTCACTCCAACTCTCCCTACAGATTGCTCAGTACAGTGACACCTCGGGTTACAGACGCTTCAGGTTACAGACTCTGCTAAACCAGAAATAGTACCTCTGGTTAAGAACTTTGCTTCAGGATGAGAACAGAAATCATGCAGCGGCTGCACAGCAGGGCCCATTAGCTAAAAGGGGTACCTCAGGTTAAGAACAGTTTCAGGTTAAGAACAGACCTCCAGAACGAATTAAGTCCTTAACCCGAGGTACCAAATGTATCTGAGTCAAAAACGTATCTCTTTGGTGCTCATAAGAGACTCCAGATGAATTTAGGCCAATTTGTGTCTGTTTGAAAGCCACATACTAGCCTTAATTATCCTCTTTCAGAATTAACTCTTCACTTGCTAAGGTTTATGGCCAATCGTTTGCTATCACTTCATGTCATCTAAATTTAATGCCATGTTTTCCAATCTTTTAAGAGATGCATTGCCTGAAAGCCTATAAGACGTTTATTCCACATTATATCTAGAACTGAAAACGAGATGGAATTCAAATATCCATTACATCCTGAAACAATTTCATTACCAATGAAGTAAACTCACATCTACCTATAAGCTTATCTTTCGGCTACAAAATGGGAATTTTGATTGATAATAGTTGCTGCATTATGGCAAGAATGGATTCATTTTTACTTGAACTAAGACAGTGCTCTATTTTTTTAGGATATCTTTAGCACATTTGAAGAGGATGATGAGATTGAAATTGCATGTGGTGATATGGGCGGGGGGGTTATATGCAATTATTCTATATCAGTTGTTTCTTAAGTCTTGAAAAGGTAAAAAATGTGATTTTATCAATGCATTCATAATACTATCATAGTACTTATACTTTGGACTGCATTATGTTCTTATCTCAGATACAAATAATTTTTATATTGTTGTATGTTGCTAGTGAATACCAGTGATTGTGTTTCATACAGTTCTTATTCAGAAATGACTTTGGACACCAATTATTTATGATTTGCACCTCTTGTCTCATTTAGTTATACTAAGGCTGCACTCCTAACCATAACTTCTCAGATGTAATTCTTACTGAATTTGATTAGGTTTACTAGTGGAATTAAGACTGCAACCAACAACAAACAAAGGAAGACTTTTTTCTCGAAGAAGCAGATTATAGGCCACAGATGGGTGGAGGTTTTCAAATACAGTGGTACCTCGGTTTAAGAACAGTCCTGTATATGAATGATTTGGTTTACGAACTCCGCAAATCCGGAGGTAGTTTCCTGTTTTCAAACTTTACCTCAGTCTAAGAACAGCATCCGAACGGTGAAAGGGCACCAGCGGCAGGAGGCCTCATTCGGGAAAGTGCGCCTCGGTTTAAGAATGGTTTTGGTTTAAGAACGGACTTCCGGAACGGATTAAGTTCGTAAACCAAAGTACCACTGTAAATGCCATTGGAAACCCAATGGCACACTTTCACACTTTTCATTCCTCTGTCTTATGCCTACTGTGTGAGAGCTTTCAGTTTGATTGCACAACTGTGGACAAAGCACAGATACCAGTTGAGTTATAGTATTGTGAAGGCTGGTCTTCAGGTGCAACTGAACATTAGCATGGCCTGTGCTGAGCTTCTGACTTCTTGAAACAACAGCCAGGATCTGCCAAAAATGGCAAGAAGCCAGCTCAAATACAAATTTAAAAGGAAGGAAGTCGAGGTCATGCCAACCCACCTTTAAGATAAAATATCACATTTAATGCCAAGTATTTCATTATGAAGATGTCATGCCAGCCAGAATGCAACAAGTTTAGGAGCATAGTCCTAATGGCAGTTGGGTGGTGTCTTGTATGTCTCCTTCTGGCAACTCCTACAGCCACGCTAGTGCCAAATGTATTGTTTTGGTTTATTTTGGACCATATTAGTGAGACTGGGGGGAGGGGTGTGTCTTGTCATCTGGGTAGGACCTCCGTACACACTGCCCAGGTTTGCGCCCCAGAGAGGTCAGTTCTGGGAACTCAGCAAAAACAAATGTGGGAGGCAGCAGTTACAAGTTATAAGCTCAACCTGAAGTGTAAGCGCTATGGTTTGCCTTCATTGGTGGGAGAGAATATCAGGTCTCAGCTACAAATACTTACATATAGACAGAAGTGCTCCCTGGTCAGTGGTACAGTGATACCTCGATTCTTGAACAAAATCGATTCCGGAAGCCCATTCAGCTTCCGAAATGTTAGAAAACTGAGGCACAGCTTCCCAGTGGTTGCAAGAGCTTCTTGCACTCAGGGGAAGCCGTGTCGCACATTTGGGTTCCAAAAAATGTTTGGAAATGAAAGCATTTACTTCCAGGTTTTCGGCATACAAGAACTGAAACGTACGACAACGGAGGCGTTCAAGAACTGAGGTTCCACCGTAACACGATCATTCTGAGACTGAGTTTGTGTTCTGTTGCTGTAACCAATGGGCGGAGGCATTCACCATTCTAATCAACACTCGCTAGTAATCATTTTGATACTATTGTCTCTGGAGGTTCTGTGCTGGTCCCATCAAGGATTATTTTGGCAGCATGAAAGCACTCTTTGTGCTAGAAGTTCAAGGGTATTGCAAAACATAATGCCTAATTAAAATCCAGCCTTTCATCTTCCATCTTGGAGCCAGTTTGTCCATTTCCTCAGCTTCTTCTTTCATACCCCTTTGTGTTCCTATCATCATCATCATTATTATAATCAGGTTTCATTACCAACATATGCTATAACAAACTAATTCATGGCATAAACAGTAAAAAGAAAAGAAAAACCATGTTGCACATTAACCTTAATGACACTGGGTCTATAGGATTATCAGCTGATAGTATTAGATAGATGCAGTGCCAAGTTCACATCGGTGCAAAGACAACAGGATAACATTATTTTAATGGAATTTTAATTGATGCTTAATTGTGTAATGAAATTGTGCATGGCAACCGATGGAAGCATTATCCTCCCTTTAAAGTTGATTCAAGTGCATGTGCTAAATTGAATTTCCAATGTTCCACTGCTGTCGTTGATCAGAAAAGTCACAAATGCTGCCTGAGCGCAGGTAAAATTGTACGGCATGAACATTTTTCTTCTGGGCTGGTGCTTTAGGATAGCAATGATGAAGAGTTGAATGCATTCCAAGCCAGCTGGATTTCACTGTGCAAATATAAAATCTAAGCAACTCCATTTGATATATACTTAACAACAAGCTCCCACCCTAGGCAGCTTAGAAAGATGGCTGTGAAAAATTACAATACTAGTGAACTGGCATTTTGAAAATAATTTACAGGCCACAGACGGAGAAAGAAAATACCAGGAGGAGGCACCTATGGTGAAATGACTGCTGTTATAAAAAGGATAAGAAATTGGTGTTAGGATCTTAGGGAAGGTGATATATTTGTAACAAATCAACGATGCCGTTGTAAGGCTGGTTCCACAGCATGCTACACCATCAGTTTCAGCTTCAATGAAAATTTCTAGGCAAGACAGTATCTCCACAATTGGAGGCATCACCCAGGTCACTAAAGTCACTCAACAGGTATAAGTAGTACCAGCATATAAACCACCAATCCTAAAGCACAGCGATCATATGCAAGAAATTAAGGAGGGGCACTGTAGATGTTTGTTAAATTAAGCATTCTGAGCACCAAGCGAATATATTCCTCTTTAACCAGGCCTTTGGCTGATTAAATGGTCAGGGGTCCCTTTACCTTTATCTTTACCTAGAGTATTAAAGATAAAGGTAAAGGGACCCCTGACCATTAGGTCCAGTCGTGACCGACTCTGGGATTGCGGCGCTCATCTCGCTTTATTGGCCAAGGGAGCCGGCGTTTGTCGCAGAAAGCTTCTGGGTCATGTGGCCAGCATGACTAAGCCGCTTCTGGCGAACCAGAGCAGCACACGGAAATGCCGTTTACCTTCCTGCTGGAGCGGTACCTATTTATCTACTTGCACTTTGTGCTTTAGAACTGCTAGGTTGGCAGGAGCTGGGACCGAAGAACAGGAGCTCACCCCGTCACGGGGATTTGAACCGCCAACCTTCTGATCGGCAAGTCCTAGGCTCTGTGGTTTAACCCACAGCGCCACCAGCATCCCGATTAATATTCTACACACTTTTATATGTGTCTATGGGGAGAGCGGGTTATTGTTTTGCTGTTTTGTTTTACTCAGTGCTTTTTTTCTAAAAAAAAAGTTTAGGGGTACTCTCATTTTCCTACTCATATTGAAATACAGCCCCTCAATGAGGCCAAACTTAGATTCACAAAATGTTTAGGGGTATGCGTCCCCCAGAAAAAAGCACAGGTTTTACTTATTTACTTGATTTTATCCTATATTTTATTCTGTGAACTGCCCTGACATCTTATGATTAAGGGCAGTATATAGATATAATGAATATAATGAATGAATTAATTAATGAACTAGATATAGACCCGGGTTTCCCAAACTTGGGTCTCCAGCTGTTGTTGGACTATGAATCCCATCATCTCTAGCTAGCAGCATCAGTGGTCGGGGTAGTGGGAGTTGTAGTCCAAAAACATCTGGAGATCCAAGTTGGGGAAACACTGATACAGGCTAATATTTATTGGTAATATATTCAGGAAAAATCACAAATACTTTTTCACAGAACCCACCAGTAATGTATGGAATTTTCTACCCTGAAATGTGGTAATAGCTACCGGCTTAGATGGCCTTGAAAGAGCAATCTGACAAATTTATAGATGCTACTGCTACCGGTATCTTTTAATCATAACTGTTAAGTGGAGCCCACTTCTTCAGAAGTTCTATGCTACCGAATACAGGTTTCCGCAGAGCAAAAGCACACACTGTATTTGTGAGTTTCTTGGGCACAACTGGTTAGTCACTGTGGAGACTACTAGGATGAAGGTCCAAGGTGGTACCCAGAACCATCGTTATCTACACAATAGTCTTCAACCTGTTCAGAACTGGGTGACATGGTTTAATCCAAACATATATTTTGGGACCCATTTATTATTTTGTTTGACTGTTTATTTGTATCATGATAGCACTGTTGTTGCAGGCCAACTTAGTTTGGGTTGCAACCAAGTACTGATTCCAGATCCCCCAACTGAAAACCAAAGATCTGTACAAGTGTGTTATACTTGCATACCAGACCCTCCAAGTGTCCCTATTTTCCATGGACAGTCCTAGATTTACAGAAGCTGTATTGGTTTCTGATTGATCTCAGAACGTCCTGCTTTTCCTTAGGACATCCCTATTTTCATTGGAGAAATGTTGGAGGGTATGGAGTTATGCAACCCCCCAAGTCATGGAGATAAGTAACATATGAAGGCAGATGTGTATGTTATGTTTTTATATATTTTGGAAGCCACCCAGAGTGGTTGGGACAACCCAGTCAGATGGGTGGGATATAAATAATAAAATGATTATGATTATTGAATAGGATGTCCCTATTTTCATTGGAAAAAATGTTGAAGGGCATGGTATACTCTGTTGGTAAACTTGGGTTTGCTGCTGTGTCATGTGTGAAGGAACCCAATATAGTTTTAGATCACACTAGAAATAATTATTTTGTAAAGACGGAAGCATGTCCCACTGACTTCACTGGGACTTACTCCCATGGATGTGTGCATGGGAGACTTCTAATATGCTTCTGTTTGTAAAGCAATACATTTTGCTTTATGACACATAACTGGGTTTGTGGCATTCAGCTGCTGCAATCGCGTCTCAGAGGGAGTGCCTAACTGCTCTGCTTTTTGGTACAGGTGTCAAATAGTGATTACAAATGCAGACAAAAAGCTCTACCTGGATTAAGCCTGTTGTATTCATAACACATTGTTTTGATCCCCAGCGTCAACAAAAGGTAGTTATAATGAAAAGTGCTGCTGGTGGCAGCATTACTCCAGATTAAGGTCTGCAAGCCGAGTGGAAACTTTTAATGAGTCATAATTTGCATGTTTATCATAATGTGCACCAGTGGCATTTGCACTTTCAAACTGCCTATGTTTACATCTAATTATTATTATTTTTTTGCTAGATAGCTTAGTTGCTGCTGATGCAGGCTAGAATCTTGAAGTTGCTCTTGAGAGCCATAATGGGACGTCCGAGATTGGGATCAGAGGTGAGGGAGGCTTCTGTCAAGCCATGATGCTCCGCTTAAATCAGGGCACTTGGAGGGTATGGAAAGTTAACCTATCATTTTTTTTCTCAACTCCCCACAGCTCTGATGTCTTAGTCTGGCTTCTGGAAGTATGTATGTGGCATGGGAGGAAGAGGAGGCTCAAGCCGGTGTTGCGTCTCCCAAAGTGCAACCTTCCGCTAGACTGCTGGTCCATGCAGCATCTCCTTGTTGGGATTCTATTCCACCTTTTGCTGCAAACATGGGATTGTTGCGTGTCACATGTCTGTTTACATTCCAGCACAGATTGCTGGCGTAAGCGGAACTTCCGCTCTGTATAGCTTTTGTTTTTAGCTCTCTCTCTGAGAAGACGGCAAGGAGAGGCAACATGTTTCTTTGTCCTGATTTATGTTTAATAAATGCGTAGCTTAGTATGTATCTACAGCCTCAAGCCTCTTCTGTTGCGCAGTATACACTGCTGAGAAAAGTGTGCTGAAGTCTGCAAGCTTGAGTGGCTGTTGTACGTCAGAGCAAGAGGTCGATGAATCTCCGCAGCGGCAAGGCTGAGAGGGAGATGTTTCAGCTGGGGCCGAGCCAGCTGGCCTTTTGACCCCCTTACGCCGACACTCCCGTCACTGCTCAGCTCAGTGCAACCTCGCCACACTTATCCGTGTGGCATCTCCCAATGCTGCTCAGGATGTGCTGGTTCCACGGTGTCTCCCAATGCTCTCCTGAGACCATGGAGGAGAGGGAGGACAACAGACAAAGGTAGGAGGGGGATGGAGGGAGCGGGGCAAGCAGGTGAGGAAAGGGTCAGCAACAGAGAGGAGGTGAGCGATGGCATCGTCAGGAGGGCAGGAGGTGCCCCAAATTGTCCTCCCTAAATGTTGAAGGGGGGTGGGTATGACTTTCACCTTCGGCTTCAAATTTGCTCCAAGTCAAACAGTAAGTAAAAACTGAATTAAGCAGCCAGTGAACACACACACACACACACACACACACACACAGCCCTCTGAAATTGTGTTTGTGATGGAACCTCAGCAGATTGGGTGACTTCCTATATTAAACTCTGTGACTGCACTGAATTTGCAGGGAAAACAAATCGATATAATACTCCTTATAATGACTATGCTTTTTTGTGTAAGTCAACAAATCTCCTATTAATTAACCAGTGATTAAAGTCAGCTTGTGAAAATTAATCACAGCCTGGAAAAGCCATTTGTCCATGTGTGCTTCATTACGGCGGTGTTTGCCCTTCAGGCAAGAAAGCAGCAAGTAAATGCCACAAAATGAGCAGATTAAACTGTAGCTACACTGATCTGTTTGCCAGAGATTCCAATTCTTCCCCTCCTAGCTTATGGGTTCTATGAAGTGTGTCTGTTAAGCTTGTGCTATGAACTAAATGAACATTCACTGGCGTTTTGCAAGAACGTGGCAACTTAATCCGCCAAATGAATGCTTTGGGTGTTTAGCAAAAGAATAATAGCACGCATCCAAGTTCAACTGTGTGACATTGTTGAAACCAGGACATCTGATAAACACAGTAAAATATTGCAAATTACGACCCAATTTATTTAGATCCATTTTTGAACTTTAAAAAGCACTTTGGTCAAATAACTTACTAGCACATTTCTTTTTTTATTCACACCATTCTGCACTCAGGCTGAATGCAATTTACAGAGCATAAGCAAAAATCAAGATTTTATCTTAAAAACTGCAATGTTACAATTATTACTATTTCCCCTAGAATAACACACACAAGTCCCATCCAACTTGCATCTTAGTCAGGGTGAAGAGAAACAGCTCATGCACTCCAAATTCTAGGAAAGAGTCTACTTAAAGTTCTGCAAAACGATTGCTTAAAGTGCTAAAGTGTTGCTGTACATGTTTATGAAAGCATGATACCATTTTTCAAGGACTGCACCATTTCAGAATGTGGGACAAGAGGTGGCAGCTGCTGTTTTGGAAACACTGCTCACAGGGACCGGAATTATATGTACTCTGTCTATGGTGGAACAAGACTGAAATGAGTTACAGTCATAAATCAGCATACAGATGCTTCAGGTTGTGTTTTCTCGGGTTACGGACTGCTGAAACCCGGAAGTACCGGAACGGGTTACTTCTGGGTTTTGGATGTTGTGCAAGCGCAGAAGCACTAAATCGCGCTTTGCGCATGCACAGAAGCGCCAAATCACAACCCGCGTGTACACAGACACGCCACTACGGGTTGTGAACGCTGTGGGTTGCAAATGTGCATCCCACATGGATCATGTTCGCAACCCGAGCGTCCACTGTACTGGAATTTGAGGTGGGTCCAGTCTTATCCCAGAGGCTTCTGAGATCATAGAATCATAGAGTTGTAGAGTTGGAAGAGACCACAAAGGTAATCTCATCCAAGCCCCTGCAATGAGGGATCCTTTGCCTAACATGGGGCTCAAACTCATGACAAATGAGCTACAGTAGATGAAGAAAGGAAGAGTGAAATTAGGATTGGAGGATGTCTGCCTTGAGGTGCACATCTCGTTAAAAAACCTAAAGCTTTCCTACTAGGTATTACAGGATTGGATATACCAAGACCGCAAAAAGACTTATATGACTATGCAACAAATACTAGTAGCAAAACATTGGTAAGAAGAAGGTGTCCCAGCTAAAGAAGATTGGCAAGTGAAATTAATGGAATATGCTGAAATGGCAAAATTGACTTTGAAATTAAGAGGAAGAGATGACAATGAATTGAAAGAAGATTGAAAGGACTTTATTGCATATATACAGAAGCAATGTACATGGGTTAATACATTAGCAGGATTTTAAGAATACTTGTTTTGACCAAACTGCGGGAGGCAGTGGAAGACAGGAGTGCCTGGCGTGCTCTGGTCCAAGGGTCACGAAGAGTCGGACACGACTAAAAGACTAAACAACAACAACAAGAATACTTGTAAAGACCTTATGACTGGACAAGAAGTAATTTTAATGATTTTATAATTTAAAATGGACATGTGGTATAATGATAAACAAGGGGACCGGGTAAGGGAATAATAATAATAATAATAATAATAATAATAATAATAATATATTATTTATACCCCACCCATCGGGCTGAGTTTCCCCAGCCACTCTGGGCAGCTTCCAATCAAGAGTTAAAAACAATACAGCATTAAATATCAAAAAATTCCCTAAACAGGGCTGCCTTCAGATGTCTTTTAAAAAGAAGATAGCTGCTTATTTCCTTCACATCTGAAGGGAGGGTGTTCCGCAGGGCGGAATAGGGGGAAGTCAACTCTATTTTTTCTATGTTTGAATATGTATTTTTATTTTTGGAAAATTAATAAAATAATATTTAAAAGGTGCACATCCCCTGTCCTCAATTTCTCCCAAACACACCCACACACAGCTGGGAGGCAGATATATGCACCTTATTCTGCTCTTCTTATTCATATTTGGACTATCCAAGCAACTACCTATGAGCAGATTGCAGCAGGAGATGCTAAATGACAATTTTCTCCACAGTATTTACTTGCTAACCACTTCTCTCAAAACCTGAGAAGCAAACCACCCATAAGAAACCATAAGAAAATAACAAAAGAATCCCCCTTTTTTACTCCTGGTCCTTCCATGTCTTTTCTGATTGATGTGCTCTATCTCTGGTGGGTTAGCAGGGTCCTACTCTATCCTCACAACTGTCTGTTCCATCTGTCACCTCTTACAAGTGCATTAAACCTCTAATAGGGTTCCTGTACCTATGGGACCACTTTGGCTCAATAAAATAGCTTTTATTTAATAACAGATCACCGATTATAGATAATTTAATAAAGGAGGTATCCCAAAAGTGCAAAAGGAAGGTGTGCGGAACTTGCGGGGTGTTTTGTAAAGAAGACAGACAGAGATAGATGGATGGGGACAATTGTAGGCAGGCCCTCGGGTCAGCTAGAGAATAGGTAAACCAATCACGAAGAGCCACAGGGTACCAGAATGTCAGCCAACAGAGCAAAAGGACTTCTGGATGCCAGAGGTTTTAATCTTGTTTTCTCCACTTGTGAACTTGCTGATTTGTTCCTTTCCTCGAATAAGAGAGTATGCTTTCTTGTTGCAGAAAGCTGATCCCTAGTATACACTTATCACTCCCAGTAAAAGAGCAAAGCATTGTGTGATTTATTTATTTATTTTTTGCAGTAGAGCAATACATTAATAAGTGGTAAACCATGTGAATTTTTATTATTATTATTATTATTTTTTAGCTGACTTCCCATGCTTCAAGATCGGAGGGAATCCTAATCATTTCATATTTCTACTGCATTTCAAAATATTACAATAATTTCCTTAATACATTCTGATGTTAATCCTTCATTATTTTCATTGGCGGAAATGACTGGCAGAATCCGAGACCAGGGAGAAGAGTCGGTGAAAGAAGATTGGAAAAAATTTAAGGACTATTTACAGAAATATTGTAAAATTAAGGAACTTTAGAAGGATGTTGGATAGAAATTAAGAGGTTTTTAGCTGTAATGCTTTAAGAGACATGAAAAAAAAGGTTAACAATTGGGTAAAAGATTAATGGTAAGGATTTGCTGAACCAACAAACTGAATTGGAATACAAAGAAGGGAGGTATGAGGAGGTCTGGGGAATAAGAGTAAGGAAGATAGGTTATGGAACATCATTGTGTTTTTAATTGTTTTATTTTGTATGCTTTTTCTTACTTTTTACTTTTTTGCTGTAATTTATACTTTTTTCTTTGTTTTCTGTATTTTTGTGAAACTTTAATAAATATCATTTAAAAAAAAAAAATAATCCTTCATTATTTTCAACAGCCTCTGTGTTCATTCTGCAAGTGAGTTTAAGTCCAAATAAAATGTTTCTGTGTGGATTTTATGTCTTTACTCTTCTTCTTTATAGTTTAAACCATGTGAAATTTAGCAAGTCCAGACAGCCTGCAGAATTGTAAGTGCTCCAAGTTCTAATACTACAGAAGAGGAGGACAGCTCATAGCTTCTTTTGCTTCCTGCTCTGATGTCATAGAGATGCTGGATGACTAAAGGCCAGGCAATCATGAACCAAGGAAGAACTGGAATTTTAGTGCAGGATTTAACTTCCTTCCGCAGGGCCTGTAAGACAGAGCTATTCTGCCTGCTTTCAATTTGAACTTAGCCTGATCTTTTATTCCCTTTCCTTCCCTCCCCCTCCCCCCTTTATATGAAGATTACCGGCTCTGGGATCCCACAGCTAATTCTCCCCTGGTCTCCTCGCTGGCCCAAATAGGATTAATTTAACCAGCTAGCCCTGGTGATCATCTAATGTTTATTGGATGGATTTTCCTCCTGAATTGATTTTTGAATTCTGAATTTATTGTTATTCATGTTTTATACTGCATTTTATGCTTTTTTGTTGTATCAATTAAGTGTTTTAAATTGGTTGTTAGCCACCCTGAGCCTGGTTTTCTGAACTGGGAAGGGCAGGGTATAAATAAAAAATTATTTTTATTATTATTAATTAGCAACTTGCAAAAAGTAAAATCATGTAACCCACAGAGAGCCAGAGAGCAATAAAGCTTAAACTGCTAGAGGTGAGGCAGTGATGGAACCAAACTTTGTATATGAGGATCATCTTAATAGGGTGACTAGATTTATTTTTTAAAAATACTAAACCACAGCTTCTTTCACACGTGAATTCTATGGTGGCATACCTAAAAACACATCCATGCAATATTAAAACAATAAAAATCAAAACAAAATAATCAAACCAGAATAATACTGCTGACCTATTAATCCAGCTATAACAATACTGTAACATTAAAAAGCTTGGGGAGGCAAAAATGTCTTAACCTGCCACTAAAAGCAGTACAGCAGTACCAGTGTTAACACAAAACGGCTTAGTACAAAATTCAGATAGCAACAGCAGTAGCTTCTAAGACATGCACTATAATGTGACACATTTCTTCTACATATTTGGCTGCGTTCACATGGCAGTTTATTTCATTTCCCCAATTTTACCCTAAAGAGGAAAGACCCAGTGTGCTTCTGCTGCCTTTGGGGGTGTTCCTTGGTGCCTGGAAAGAAATGGACTGGAAAGAAAGGAACATATAGAGACTGTGGCCAAGTTCTGCTAAACCAGAAGCTTCCAATAAAGTTGGATATAATGCAAACAGATAGTTTGAGAGCCCATCTGGTATAGTGGTTAGAGTGTTAGACTAGGACCTCGGAGACCAGTGGAGTTCA